TGGTAATGTTCACTTTAGGGGAGTCACCTCCGATGATCTTGATCTTGACATGTTGTTCAGGTCATCGTCCTGAATAACACGCAAAAGGTTTTAGTCGTCGATCGTTATTTATTAAAAAGTTATTAACAAAAAAAGTTTTATAAATGGAACGTAATTTTAGTATATAATATACATTGAAATATGGTAAAAAGTATACGTATATACGTGGGGGGTTCTGCCTCTCCTTCTGAAACACCTTCCCAAAAAACCTAACCCTAACCTAACCCATCTACTGAAACATGGTAAAAAGTATGCATATACTGTTTGCGCATATACGTATACTGTTCACCACATTTCAATGGATAGGTTAGGTCAGGTTTAGGTTTCTTGGGGAGGGGTTGCGAGGGAGGGACGGAGCCCCTCCCCCGCGCATATACGTGTACTGTTTATCATATTTCAATAGATGGATTAGGTTAGGGTTAGTTTTTTGGGGAGGGGGTGCGCATATACGTGTACTGTTTACCATATTTCCATGTACACTATATGCAAAAATTACGTTTAACTTTTAAAACTTCTCTTGTTAATAACTTTTTAACAAACAACGAGCGACGACTAAAACCTTCTGAAGGTTACTCAAAAGAGTGACCTCTATAATATATGTCAAGATCAAAGTCATCAGAGATGACTCCCCTAAAGTGGACATTTACCAAAATTTTTTTTCTTATTCAAAATATCTGAACATTATAATATCACACAATATATTTATCACACCATTATTTATATAGGGTGAGTCATTTTAATCGAACTAGGCAAATATCTCGAAAAATATGGAAGATACGGAAAAATATTTCAAACAAAAATTGTATGGTTCGGAGGGGGACATAAGATGGTGCAATTGGCTTGTCCCTGAATAGTCGTTTGAAAGTCACGTGAAGGTCACCTTCAATTTCTTAAATGAAAACCTTCATTTTTCATTGCATATTCTTGTAGCTTACCTCGAAAGCTTTCCAAAACACTATAAGAAAATGTTTTTTTATTAAGTATCTTTCGAGTTAAAAGGTTTCAAATTTACAATATTGTTGCCATTAGCATTGGTACCTAAGGTGTTCGACCGACGGCTGAAACCTTTTGAATATTGTTTAGGGTCATGACCTTGACAAATGTTGTCAAGGTCAAGGCGATTGGAGACTGTTCCTAATATTTTCATTTCTTCAAATTTTACAGTGAAAACAAAAATAATAATTTAAAATCATGAGGTAACATATGGAGTTCGATTGACTCTAAAGGATCATATGTAGATCAATGCTATGATTATTAAAGAAATTTATTAATGAGATTTCACACGTGTGCTTCTTTATGGCTCCGACGAAGCATTGTGATCTTCATATGATCCTTTAGAGTCAACTCCACATGTTACCCCATGATTTTAAATTATTATTTTTGTTTTCTGTAAAATTTGAAGGAATGAAAATATTAGGAACAGCCTCCAATCGCCTTGACCTTGACAAATGTTGTCAAGATCATGGCCCTGAACAACATTCAAAAGGTTTTAGCCGTTGGTCGAACACCTTGGGTACCAATGCTAATGCAACAATATTGTAACTTTGAAACCTTTTAACTCGAAAGATACTTAATGAAAAAATATTTGATTATAGTGTTTTGGAAAGCTTTCGAGGTAAGCTACAAGAATATGTAGTGAAAAATGGAGGTTTCCATTTAAGAAATTGAAAGTAATCTTTACGTGACTTTCAAACGACTATCCAGGGTCAAGCCAATTACACCATCTTATGTCCCTCTCCGAATCATACAACTTTTGTTTGAAATATTTTTCCTTATCTTCCATATTTTTCGAGATATTTGCTTGGTTCGATTAAAATGACTCACCTTGTATAATAAATACCTATACATATATGTACTTAATTATTTATATTGATCTCATTTCTTTTTTTAATTAAATTATTAACTTTTGTCTCGACAGTGCGTGAACATTCCTCATTCCTCAACAATACATAGTCGCAACAGGGTGTCTCAAACCATCCGGACTACCAAATGTTTTCGTAAACGCGATATTTTAAAGAAAAATATTTCGGACAAAAGTTCCACTGAGTACTTTTCGAATTATGAGGCCTGAAATTTCGAATACCGCCGGCATTAGCATTATCTAAGGCAGAGCTCGGAATTAGTTACCCATTTTGGCCAATTCTCGGAACCTTCGCTTTCTATCTTCCTTTTGACGCGAACAGGCCGTCAAAGTGACGGTCGCGGCCAGTCGCGGCTTCAAGCTTGGAGGCACGACCGTCACTTTGCGGACCCGCTCGCAACAAGGGGAAGATAGAAGGCGTAGCTCCCGAGAATCGGCCGAAATGGGCAACTAATTCCGAGCTCTGCCTTAGGTAATGCTAATGCCGGCGATACTCGAAATTTCAGGCCTCAACTCGAAAAGTACTTAATAGAAAAATACTTTGTTATAGTGTTTTGAAAAGCTCTCGAGATAAGCTGTAAGAATATGCAATGAAAAATAAGAGGTTTCGTTAAAAACATTGAAGGTGACTTTCGTATGATCTTGACAACGCTTTTCAAGATCATACTAATACCACTATTTGATGCGTCATTTAAAACCTTATAACTGTTGTTCAAAATATTTTTCTTTAAAATGTCGCGTTTACGAAAGAATTGGATGATCCGGGTGGTCTGGGACGCTCTGCATACATATGCTATACACACACACACACGCACACAAAAGATATTGTATTTTGAAAACATGATTGTATTTTATTCGAATTATCTAAACACAGAGCTTTGCTTCTTGCTATGTAGCTTTTTAATATTTTTTTGTTTAATTTAATGTTTTATGTAACCATCAATAAGATCACATTTAATCACGCTTAATCATTAATCCTATATCTTAAATATCTGATTATCATTATCATTTGCACTATTAATTTTTATTTTAACAATTAATTTCTTACAGATTCTGTCGTAATATGTTGCACCAACATACATAACAGTATGACGAGTTGCACGGCAGATTTTGTAGGAGCACATGTGGTCGAATACGGCTAAGTAGGTGAATAACGGTATACATATGAGCGGTCGTGTGCTTTTTTCCTAATCACAATGATTATTAACCAAGCTTGTCATAATTGTGTTTGAACGTTGCAAACTTCATTGGGAAATAGGCGACTTGCTTGCATATATGTAAGCCATTATTATCTACTCACAAGGGGAGGACCAGGACTCACCCTGGGATTTCGACTCCAATTTTTTTAATTATTCTGGAGATGAAAAAGAAAGATACGTGTCCCAGCGTTTGATCGAGGCCTTAGTTTCGGAGTAATAAATTTGTGAAAATTGGCCATATCCGAAGCGCACCGCGGCGCGCCACATGAGCCTTGCCGGTAACTGTACTTCCAACCAGTGCAGTTGGCTTCATGAGTTAGGTGCTTGCTTCATAATTCGTAAGATCCAAGTTCGCTCACGGAGGTGAGCAATAATTTTTTTTTAATGAGTGTTTTTATTTATTTTTATTTATTATGATGATATTGATATACTATGCAAATTTTTGAAATAGAAAATTTAATTTAAAATCACATTCTAAACATTAATTTAAATTTAATTTTAAGGGAATTTTAATTCAAGTAATAGTATTTGAAATAATAAATAAGTAATAATAATAATATATAAGTTATTTGTAATGGATAACATATAAAGGCAACGTATCTAAATTTTCAAATTGTTTAAATTTAAAATTTAATTGGAAATAATATTAACAGTATTTTAAATTTCTAGTTTTTAAAATAATTAATCGTAGAAGAAGAAGAATAAACAAACATCTAAAATGTGAACGTGAATATTTTTTTTACAAAATTCAATTATTTAAGTATAGCGGATTTATTACAAAATTAAATTATTTCGATGCGGAACAATTACTTGGATGATAAATATCATAAAAACATTTAAAGCATATAAATTTTCTACAGTTTGCTCAATGAATAAATGAAGGAGTATCACATATACATTTATTTTTCCGTAAGTCCGGGGGGAAACATATTTCGTTAACATATTTCGTTTCGAAACACATTTTTTTCAGGAATTAATTTCGATGCAAACTAAGCGTACTTGATCATATCTGTAAAAGCTCCCAATGATAATTGTGAATGAATTAAAGAATGAATCTTTTTATACTATATCTTTTTATACTATATCAATATCATCAAAATAAATAAAAATAAATAAAAACACTCATTCAAAAAAAAATTATTGCTCACCTCCGTGAGCGAACTTGGATCTTACGAATTATGAAGCAAGCACCTAACTCGCGAAGCCAACTGCACTGGTTGGAAGTACAGTTACCGGGAAGGCTTATATGGCGCGCCGCGGTGCGCTTCGGATGTGGCCAATTTTCACAAATTTATTACTCCGAAACTAAGGCCTATTCAATCAAACGCCGGGACACGTATCTTTTTTTTCATCTCCAGAATAATTAAAAAAATTGGGGTCGAAATCCCAGGATGTCACCTGGTCCTCTCCTTGTCAGCCGCGCTCGACCACATGCCTCTGCAAAGTCTGCTGAGCAACCCGTCATACTGCTCTGTATGTTAATACAACACGCTGTACATATTATTCAAAGTTATTCATTCTCTCTGCACGCGATGTAGCATCTTCATAATCATTAATTTCACTTGCTTATTTTGTATCTTGTAATTCATGTAATTACATTCTTGTAATTACATTCATACAATACATAAATACATTTGGGTCTCTTAAATAATAAATGCAAGTCCAAGACTAATAATTCTCCAGTTGCAATTTGAAATTATGGTCAATTATGATGAGAGATTATTATGATGATAATGTAAAAGTTATTAAATTTGATAAATGTGAAAGAATTGTGTAAGCGGTGCGAATGAAGTTTAAGTTTCAAAGTAATAAATTTTTATTAAACGTTACTGACTCTTCTCTGGCTCAAGTGTACGTATGTAAAACATCTATGCTAACATATAGCTGTGTGTTACGCGTAGAGTTACCACAGTTGGCGCATCGTAGCGAGGCACATGTTCCCGAAACTGTTGAAGGAAATGGTTCGTTTGTCGACACTCTCATCTCACTGCTGTGCGGCGTTGTTTGTAATAATGAACAGTACAATAAGCCCGTAGGTAAGGCAACAATATGCTATTCCCTACCGCGGGATCGACTTTGTTCGTCGCGATGCGTCGTAACGATTATCACAAAACGTACTTCCAAGATTATATATAATTATCCATATTATAATAATACACCAAATACGCTTTCGCCACAGCATTTCTACAGTGAAATGATAGCGTCACTATCTGAGTGGCGTTAACAAATTCACATTCTAATATCGTGCGGTAGAGCGGAGTGGAAAGAAACGTAAGAAGAGAACAGCTTTACAATAAATCAGTGGAGTACAGTTTTAAACTGCATGCTTCTTTAATTAACGAGTTGCTTAATGAATTTTTTTACTTTCTCGTAAAATCTGTGACATAGTCTGTATTATAATCTTGTCAAATTGCTATCCTTAATATAGTCAAAAAACCAATATATATCTTGCAACAATAGCATTGTTATGTATACCTTTAATATTTATGTTTGTCTTTTGCACATTTAGAACGTTTCAACGTTAACATCCTCAATGTTCATGTACAATTTCTACCTACATTTCATGTGTATTGTATATGAATATAAATGTATTTAAATTTTTTAATTTTTTAAAGTATGAAGATCACAAGCAACTTTTTGACATACTCTCTAAATGAATTTATATTTTAAATTGCAGATACTCACGATAGAGGATTCAGCAAAGATATATGTCGTAGCATGGTGGCGATGTTGGATGTAGATCATTCTGGAAAACTCGGTTTTGAAGAATTTAAAACCTTGTGGAACGATATTAGGAAATGGCGGGTAAGTGTCAAATATCTTTGATCCGGTAATTTATAAAAACGAATTTGTAAATACGAAATACGTGCACACCGATGAACATTTTGTGAATTAAATATGACAATTCCACAATAAAATTTCCAGGCTGTTTTTAAACTTTACGACAGAGACGAATCAGGTTATCTGAGTGCATTTGAATTGAGGCAAGCATTAAATAGCGCCGGATATCGTTTGAATAATCATATTCTCAACATTTTGGTTCATCGTTATGGCACTAAAGACGGCAGAATTACATTTGACGATTACATAATGTGCGCAGTCAGATTGAAAACGATGATCGGTGAGTAAAATTTACATTTTTCACATAGCACAAAATGTAACAGTGACATCACAATAACATTACTCTGCGACAATAAACTATGTCGCAATGAAGTCACAACAAAGTCACGGTGACGTGCGAATGTCTGCTTTGTCATATGTGTGATATTACTGTGATATCATTATTATGATATGAAGAAAAATATCACAGTGATGTATTTGTAATAATGACGTATGATACTGGTTAAAAAAAATATATTTTGCAGAAACGATTGCAACTAGTTAGCTTATGTTGATTTTAAATATAATTGAGGTGTTTTTTTTTTCTATTTATTTGATTTCTCACTATTTTCGCACCTGAAAATTTAATCAGATACTGGTCAGACGCGAACTCGAAACCTCACAACATCTTCCAGGTTCCTAGTCTACCACCTTGCCTACTGCGCTATTTCTTCAACTGATATTAAGTGTGTTTTATTATCCCCATATGTAGCCGAAGTACTAATTATACTTTTCTTATAATATTATTTAGTACAACCACAAAAATAAATTATTTATAATTTTAATATTTCATATAATAAAAGAGAAGTTAGAGATACATGCATAAAATATTTATGTAAAATATGTTTACCTAGGTGTTGACATTACAAAACATTACAATTTAAGACACATTTGAAGAAACATTTTTAAAATGTTAAAAATAATGGGATTAGTTCTCTTTTTTTCATTCGAAGGATGTTTTTTGACGTTTTTTAACGTTTGGAAAAATATTTTTATTTTTATATTTAATAAATATTTATTTTAATATTTAGAAAATATTTTTTAAGTGTTAAATGTTGAAAAAACGTTGGTAAATATTGACAAAAATGGACCATCTTCCGAGGACGATGATCTTCAACATATGTTGTCAAGGTCATCATCCTGAGTAACATTAAAAAGTTTTAGCTGTCGCTCGTTGTTCATTAAAAAATTATTAACAAAAAAAGTTGTATAAAATGAATGTAATTTTTGGACACCTTATATACAAAGACCTTATATCGTAGGCTAGGAAGGTGCGTGCCCTTAGCACGCGCGCACTCTCTCTCTCTCTCTCTCTCTCTCTCGCTCTCGCTCTCGCTCTCGCTCTCGCTCTCGCTCTCGCTCTCGCTCTCTCGCTAGCCCGGGCGGGCTCGTGCTTGTTTCCTATTGTATTAGAATGATCTAACAATCATCCATGTAATTTTGCGACACTACATAAATTAATGTATGAGACAAATTACATTTTATTTATAAAACTTCAAATATAATAGGAACATACTCACCCAACGCGTGCCCGCCTGGGCGGGTAAGCGCGCGGGCGGGCGAGTAGTGTGTGTGCGTGCGTGCACAATTGACTGTAACATACGGCAAGATGACCCTAGCATGTCCCTAGCGCATTCTCATACACACACACTGCTCGCCCGCCCGGGCGGGCTCGCATTGGGTGCATATGTTCATATATTTGATAAATAAAATGTAATTTGTTTTATGAATAAAATGTAATTTATCTCATACATTAATTTATGTAATGTCGCAAAATTACATAGATGATTGTTAGATCATTCTAATACAATAGGAAAACAAGCACCCACCGCGAGCTCACCCGGGCTGGCGAGCGAGCGCGCGGGCTGGCGAGCTCTGTGTGTGTGTGTGTGTGTGTGTGTGTGTGTGTGTGTGTGTGTGTGTGTGTGTGTATTATGCAACTGAATGTAACACACGGCTTCCAAATTTTCAACATGCGTTTGTATAAATTTCTCAATGTAACACACAATTCTAATTCATTGTGGAAATTTTAAAAAGTTAGATAAATAACTAACACGTAGTATCAGTCAATTAGCTGCTGCCGTGTGTTATGTTCAGTTACATACGTACGCGCACACACACATTACTCGCCCGCCCAGGCGGGCTCGCGGTGTGTGCGTGTGTCCAAAAATTACATTTTATTTTATGCAAATTCTTTTGTTAATATCTTTTTAACGAACAACGAGCAACAACTAAAACCTTCAGGTCACTTAGGACGGTGACCTCTATAACATTTGTCAAGATCGAGATCATTAGAGCAGCCTGCCCTAAACATTTTTACCATAACTTCTTTTGTTAATAACTTTTTAACAAACAATGAGCGACGGCTAAAATTTTTTGAATGTTACTCAGGATAATGACAACATATGTGAAGGTCATCGTCCTCGGAAAATCGGTCCGTTTTTGTCAATAATTATCAAACGTTTTTTAAATGTTAAATGTTAACATTTAAAAAAACGTTTTTAAATGTTAAAATAAATGTTTATTAAATATTAAAAAATAAAACATTTTTCCAAACATTAAAAAAAGTTATCTTAATGAAAAAGGAGAACTTATCCCATTATTTTTAACGTTTTAAAAATGTCTTTTAAAATGTTTTTTAAATGTTTTTTTTTTAATATTGTTTGCTCATTGGGTAACAGAAATAACTAATAAATAAGTAAAAAATATTATATTCGTAATATTTTTTAAATATTGCTGTAATATTGCTAAAGTAATATTTCAAATTAATGTCATTGCAATGTCTCTGCAACACTACACTGCAATATGCAATGTTGCAACGTTATTATTATATGAAAATATATCTATAAGAATAGCAAACTTATCTTTTTATCCGAAAAAGAAATTCGTCTATAATATAGTGAATTAAACGTTACCATAACATCATTTTGCAAAGTTATTTCGACGTCTTAAAACATGACGTTAAATACACATCCTTAAAAGATAATGATGTTATTGACGAATAATGACGACATATTGACGGCAAAATAACGACAGCTTGCTGCCTGGGTGATATCAGTATATACAAAAAGTTACTGTTAGTAAAATTATTAATAAAAATATTAACTTGATTATTATAATAGCTGTATATTCCATATAAATAAATCCATATAAATATTAATTATAAATTAACAATAAATAGAACAATAAATAGTATAGATAACAATGATATTACTGTAACCTTTTAATAACATCACAGTGACGTCATAATTTTTGTATGACATTGTGATTCTATTGTGAGTTTACGTCATGTCACTGTGACAGTTTGTGCTATGTGCGTTAATAATTAATTCACTTATTAATAAGTATAAAACAGTTATAATATACTTTACTGCTGTTGCAGATATTTTCAGGGAGAGAGATCCAGATCAAACCAACACTGCTACGTTCACGATGGAAGAATGGATAGAGAAGACACTTTATTCGTAATAATATCTATAAATGTGTACATTCGCATTATAATTCGACTTTACCTCAGACTTAATATATTCTTCTTATAATGTGATATACACTTGTAATTGTGAGCAAGATCTACTTTTTAAAGGAGAGAAATATTTTTAAATGTAATTTTTTGTGAAACAACGTGCATATTTACAAGTCTATTAATTCGCATTTTACCAAAACAATAATTAGAAAGTAAAAAAACGTCCACTTCAAGAGAGATCTTTGCAGCATATATTTAACGGGAAGAACTAATGTATTTGTAATGTAATTAATATATAATAAAGTTTTCAGATTGCTCTTCAATTGTACAATTATTAGCTACATCAATACTGTATAATCTTTAACTATATAACTATGGACTGCTACTTACCCTGTTGAAAATTTCCAGGTGGATTCCCATAGCAATCCATAGAAATCTATACATGAAATTTAAAATCCATAGGGATCCATATAGGAATCCATGTAGGAAATCAAAATACATATAGGCATCCACCTGGAAATTCGAAATATATATAGGCATCCACATGGAAAATCAAAATCCATATGGAAAATAAAAATCCATGTGGGAATATATGTAATGTTTAAAAATAAAATATTTTATACAATATTTATAATAAATATTGTATAACAAAAAATAAATATTGGTAGTAATATTTTATAAATATTTCTATAAATATTATACATGAAAAAAATAAATGTAATTATTTATAATTATTAAATGAATGAAAAAATAAGAAAATCGAAATTTGAATTGGTAATGTATATTGAAAAAAAAATTCTTTAAATTAAAGAAATATATTTTGTTAAATATAATTTCTTAAATTAAAGATATATTTGTTAGGTTTTAGAAAACATGTAATAAATATAAAGTATTATTTTTTTAAATTTCTAAAATGAGCTATAAAATTATGAATTTCTAGATAAAAAATGATTTCTTTGATTTAAAACATCTATATATAAGAATAAGCAAATGTTTTCCTTACACAAGATGAAAATTAATTTTTTTAAATGTAAAAATTGTGTTTAAATAAATATTTGCGTTTTAGAAGTAAATGAAGTACAAGTAAATTATTTTATACGTCTAAATAAATTATGTTCTAATATTAAAAGTATCTTTTTTGTATTTTAAATTAAAGTTACTTTTATTATCAGAAAACTATTTAAATTTACAAAATGATTAATTTATATTTTACTTAAAACAAGTAGATATTTTTACATATTTATCAAATGTAAAAAGTATATAAACATATTTTTTATATACTTTTTAAACATACTTTTTACATACAAAAGGATCTATTCTCTTCTTTTAAATAAATCACTTGTTTTCGTATATTTATATACTATATGTATATAATATAAAGCTCTCTCAAAGTCAAAGTGACAGTGGCGCTGTAGGTAAGATGAACGGGAGCGTTCCGATTGACCACGATACGATTGGATATCCAATCGATGATAAGAATTATCTAGTGAATTACTAGGTCGAACCAATCATTACAATCTATGTCCAATCGTACCGTGGTCAATCGAAACCCACTCAAGATGAACGACTCAAGGCAAAGGTTTCAAGTTCGAATCCTAGCATGGTAAACAAATTTTTCGAGCTACAAGTTAAATTAAATTAAGGCTCCTGGCCCCTCGCCGCGGCCATATTGGTTTTATGACGTCAGAAGCGAGAAACGACACGTCAAGAATTCTTACGTGCCATATCTAAGTAAAAAGATATTCTTGACAAACAGCACTCGAAATCACTTCAACATACTTGTAAAAAGTTCCGAGTTCTCACCTTTTCCTTGGGCAATTCATACAAAGTCATAAAATAAGCAGTGAAATGAGACCTGTCTACGCGAGAAAACGTGTGGTCAAACAGCTGATCAAACGAGTGTAAATTATGCTTCTACGTATTGTATATCACGAAAAGCCGAGAACTCGGAATATTTTACAGGTTCCCACAATATGTCTAATGTCACAAAAGTCCACTAGAGTAAATAATATAACCACATTTCGCAAGAAAAAATTTGGCTGTCAAGAGCAGTATTATACTGCAGTATATGTCATTTTCTCACTCCATTGAGTTCATTGTTTTGCCGTATAATGGCGCTGCACGTCATATGTCGGTAATAGGTTTCTTTCTGTACTATATGTCGCGTGTGGCGTGAGTCAAACAAAGACGGACAATCTTTTCTTGTCTTACCACAGACAAGCTGACAGGCACGAGTTAGCGACAAACGCCACACTGACAATTCTTGCGTGCCATTTATAAATAAAAAGATATTTATTGCAAACAGCACTTGAAATCGCTTAAGTGCATTCAATAAAAGTTCCGAGTTCTCACTTTTTGCGTGGACAAACAATGCAAAGCCGTAAAATAAACCGTGAAATAAGGCCTACTCCCGTAAGAAAGCGCGTGAGTTAGACGAAGACAGATAATCTCTCCTTGTCTCACTACAGGCAAGCAGATAGGCACGAGTTAGCGACAAACGCCACACTGACAATTCTTGCGTGCAATTTATAAATAAAAAGATATTTATTGCAAACAGCACTTGAAATCGCTTAAGTGCATTCAATAAAAGTTCCGAGTTCTCACTTTTTGCGTGGACAAACAATGCAAAGCCGTAAAATAAACCGTGAAATAAGGCCTACTCCCGTAAGAAAGCGCGTGAGTTAGACGAAGACAGATAATCTCTCCTTGTCTCACTACAGGCAAGCAGATAGGCACGAGTTAGCGACAAACGCCACACTGACAATTCTTGCGTGCAATTTATAAATAAAAAGATATTTATTGCAAACAGCACTTGAAATCGCTTAAGTGCATTCAATAAAAATTCCGAGTTCTCACTTTTTGCGTGGACAAACAATGCAAAGCCGTAAAATAAGGCTTTGCATTGTTTGCCCACGGAAAAAATTAGAACTCGGAACTTCTTACAAGTGTACTTTAGCGATTTCAAATCATGTTTGTTATAAATATTTTTTATTTTATAAATAGCACGCAACATTTGCCAATGTGCCATTCATATGTGACTTGGGTCTGTCATCGCCTAAGGCATGGTGTACGATACATATTGTCAGTAACAATTTACCGTATCCGATCGTTGTAACCATACCCGATCATTGTAATAATCGACTATGATTAGCCAATTCTTACGATTTACTCCGTACATTGCAGATAAAACTTTTGACCTTGTCAATGGTAGGAGTAAAGTACAGACTGTAAAAAACTTCTTTTAGTCCGTACTTTACTTCCATTATAGACAAGCGGTAACAGATAGAATGATTATGGAATTTGTCTGTTGATTGACAATCACGTCGCCGTGTC